GCCTCCCCGGGGACGGTGCTGCCCGTGCCCCCCTCCCCCACGTCCAGCGCCGGCACCACCCCGTCCACCCCGCAGCCCCCCCTGGTGCACTCCCCACCCAGCCCCAGCCCCCGCCGCCGCAGCCCGCCCCGCAGCACCAGCAGCGCCGCCGCCGCAGCCGCAGTCCCAGTCACAGCAGACGCACACCACTTTCGTGGCGACCTTCGACGCGAAAGACAAGACGATACAGCAGACTCCTTCTCCCACTCAGCCTCAGCAGCAAGCCCCTCCTCCCCCTCCCCTCCGCCCCCGCCGCGTCGGCACAGCAGACGCAGCAGCCCGAGCAGCCCCCCCAGGCGGTGAGGCTCCCGGAGGCCGCCCAGGTGGTTCCGACCAGCCAGCCGCTGCCGTCCCCGTCCAGCGTCGTGGCCCCCGTCACCACCGTCACCGCCTCGACCGCCGTCACACCGGTACAGGCCGCCCCGGGGTATCACCAGTACTTGGACCCGAAATACCAGTGCCTTGAGCAGAAGTACCAGGACAGCAAGTACCAGTGCACGGACACCAAATTCACTTTGCAGGACCCCGTCAAGTACCAGTGCGTCGACCCCAAGTTCGTCTCGACCGATCCCAAGTACACCGTGGTGCAGGAGCCCAAGTACACTGTCCCGGAGTCGGACTTCCTCGTCCCCGACCCCAAGTACGTGACGCTGGACCCCAAGTTCCAGTGTTCGGATCCCAAGTTCGGGAGCTACACGACCGTGCCCATCAAGCCCGAGGGCAGGTACGAGCCGCAGCCCGACATGAGCACCGGGGTGAGCACGGGCGTCGTCAACTGGAACGTGGACAGCTCGGTGTATTCTTGCAAGGACTGCCCCGTGCCGTCCGCGCCCGCACAGTATACCCCTACCTCGTACGTGACTGAGTACAGCACGCCCTACTACACCCCCTCATACTCCATGTACAGTTCGGGAGCTCCTCCGTCCTGGGGAATCCCCAGTAACCAGATGGGCGTGAGCACCTATCAGTACAGCACGCCCATGCCGCCCCTCTCCATGCCCCTCAGCGAGCCCCCGCCGCCCCCGCCCAAGCCCCGCCGCAGGAGAGCCAAGAGGAAGGTCACGATACACAGCTGTCCCTACGAGGGCTGCACCAAGACGTACATCAAGTCCTCGCACCTCAAGGCCCACCTCAGGACCCACACGGGCGAGAAGCCGTACCTGTGCTCCTGGAAAGGCTGCGGCTGGAAGTTCGCTCGCTCCGACGAGCTCACGAGACACTACAGAAAGCACACGGGGGACAGACCCTTCCAGTGCCGCCTGTGCGAGCGCGCCTTCTCCCGCTCCGACCACCTCAGTCTGCACATGAAGCGTCATATAGCCATCTAAGAGTATCTTCTTCATCTCATAGTTCAGTGTCTTCTTCTTGTTCCCACCAAGAAGCCTTTGTTCCGACGGCTCACACATGTATAAAAAAAAAATGAGAAAGGAAAAAAAAAATGTATATCTACAATAGTGAAGCATATCTTTCGCAGTCGTAAAAAATCTTGCCTTAAATGACAAGATCAAAATTGATACCTCAACATCTCTCTTTTTTTTTTCTACTCCCTCGCCTCAGCTTGTCTCCTCCCCCTATCCTCCTTCCCCGATGTACAAAGATCCCCGAATGTACTAATGTTCCTCAGCTCTCGACCCTCTGTTGGCACTAACATCTACCTCACACTAAATCGCGGTGACAATCTGGCACTCAACGTTTTCAAGTGCCACGCTCTTCGCCGCCTCATGCTGTGCTCCCCAGAGAACTGATTTCAATCGGTTGGTCTGTATTACGTCTTTTCCCCTCTCTTTGACGACGAAAGAAAGGGGAAACCCGCTTGATATGGATTCATATTCGCGTGGTTCTGTGATCACCTTTATACGCGTTCGATAAAGGATTAATCAGGTGCGTTCTGCTTCGTGCGTTTGTTCTCTTGGGAACCGCGATCTAAGAAGAACAAAGGGAAAGAAAGATAAGAGTTCAAAGGGATAGAAAGATAAGATTCGAAAGAGTTCTGCGTTGGCACTGGATTTGGCTACGACTCCTATGCCTGCCGGAAGTTTATGCAGAATAGTATTAAGTCAGATGCTATTTCTTATCAGATGTCAGATCTTAGTCAGGAGATTGATCATTCGCAAATACTCCCCCGCTGCAATATGCCATTTGCATACGTTGTTATTACAATAAATGAGTAGATTTGCATCTTGTGTGCAACTTGAAAGAAATATTAACAAAGTGTGATACGTATTCTCGATTCCGTCCCCAGAAAAAGGCAATGCTTCTAATGAATAAAAAAAAGCAGTATGTGTTAAAGAACGTCTGCACCTGTTCAAAAGTGAACACGGGAAACATTGGGTCAATTAGTGCAGCTCTAGTCACAGGAGAGGATGCAATGCCTGGTCGTTGGGTCAAGGCAGTGTGAAATGGAATCACGAAAGGCGATGACTCTAGTACTCCCGAAAAAAAAAGAAAATAAATAAAATAAAATAAAGGTCATTCGAATAAAGTTTTTTTTTTTTTTTTTTTTTTTTTTTTTTTTTTTTTTTTTTTTTTTTTTTTTTTTTTTTTTTTGCTGGAATTCATACATACATATGTGTACATAGGCATTCGATGATGTATACAGCCGTGTGCATTATTCCAGGTCCTTGAAGAACTCGTCTCGTCTCCAAGTCGTCTGCATTAGTTTCTCATAATGGGCATAAAATACTCGACGTCACCCCTTTTAACACTAGCAGTCACGCCTCGTACGGTTAGCGTCGCCCCCTCCCCCCCCCACCCCCAATCCCGAGCCCCCCCCCCCCCCCTCCCCTCCCCCAAGGCCTTCGACGCCGTCCAAGTGTGCTCTCCAGCCTTTGCGCAAAGTTTTTTTTTTTTTTTTTTTTTTTTTTAACCCTCCGGCTACTTCACATATTTACTAATCCCAGGCGTGTGTTTGTTTCAATGCTGTACTAAGAACTTGCATTGCATTGTGTAACTTGCAAGGGTTCTGAGGACTCAAAGCTCTTGCATGTGCTGTCTAACACTTTTTTTGGGGGGGGATTGATTGTCTTTTGAACTTAAAGGCATTATTCCGTCCTCATTATATCTAGTTGGGTGTTATATAATTTTAGAGAAATATTTTTTCAGTGTTTGCAAAATGTTCGTTTTTTTCTGAATGAAAATGTATATAAGTTTTTTTGAACCCTTTTTTGACGGTGAATCATAATTGGCTATTTTTTTTTGTTTTGTATTGTGTTAAATCATCATAAAATGTGTTATATTACTTCTAGTTTGACTAGAAGCTTATTCCACACCTACACCAAGTGACTGTGAGTCGCTGTATGATATCAATATATGTGTATAGTTTTGTACATACGTTTTATATAAGGCGAAACCATGAACTGGTGCGTCTCACTTTTTACAAATAAATTTTATACTTTATCAAAGGCCTTTCTTTCCAAATCGCCATGACCTACGATTGGATCCATCTGGCTGACGTCATTGACAGGTCAGGTTCTTGCCCTTCTCTCCGCTAGGGCGCTGGTGGACCATGGGCAATCTAGGACCATTTGGGGCGGCCCTAGCGAGTGTGGTCGATGCGCTGGAGAAATTTCCTGTCTGTCACTCGTTCATAGTTGTCTTTAGTATTGAAAATGTCAAGCTTTGTGCATATAGATTTAATGGAACTCTTTTTTATACTATTGGTATACATGCTCTCGCGGTATATATATACTATATACTATTTACTATATATATATATATATATATATATATATATATATATATATATATATATATATATATATATATATATATATATCCATATACATATTATACACACACACACACACACACACACACAACACACACACACACACACACACACACACACACACACACACACACACACAACACACACACACACACACCACACACTATATATATATATATATATATATATATATATATATATATATATATATATATATATATATATATATATATATATATATATATATACATATATGTACATATATAGATATAGGAAGGTACACACATATAGAAAAAAGCATTTTTCTCTTGACTAATAAAAACCCTGAAAAAAACTGAAATTACTAATAACAAAAATAAAAAAAAAAAAAAAAAAAAAAAAGACGCAAAAAACTGAAAGATCAGAAAAACAGATTCCAAAATGAAAACAACCCTCCCCCCTCCCCTCCTCTCCTCCCCCACATCTACGCTACCCCCTCCCCCTCAAAAAAAAAAAAAAAAAAAAAAAAAGGAATGCCAACCCCCATGCGTTTCCACCGCCACATCCGAAGCCCATATGAGGGACGTGGTATGTCAGCCACGCTTATCAGGGTGTCAAGAAGGTTAAAGAGGCCAGTCTCGTGGGTGTTCCGACACACAGGTGTAGCTTGGTGTCGGAGGGAGGGATCGGTGATTCGTGAAGAGGGTGTTTCGGGTTTGTGATTGGACAGAGAAGTTTGTTTTGCGGTGTTTCAAGGGCTTGGAGGTTGGACTGCTTGTTCAAGGATAGGAGACCCAATTGCATGTTTCTGTGGAGAATTACAGACACATAAACAAGCACAGAACATGCACACACACACACACAAACACACATGCACACACACACACACACGCACGCACAGAACATGCACACACACACACACACGCACGAGGAACATGCACACACACACACACACATATGCACACACACATATGTAAACACACACACACGCACGCACAGGAACATGCACACACACACACACATATGTAAACATACACACGCACGCACAGGAACATGCACACACACACATGTAAACACACACACACTATATATAACACACACACATCATATATTTGTGAATATATACACATTTATGCATTTATCTACATGTGCGTGTGTATATAAATGTGTGCACCTGTTCTGTGTAAATATACGTTATCATCATTATCATTACATAGCAACAAATAACTCTACTCCGAGACGAACACCACGTGAAACATTACATCCAAAACGACAAATAAAAACAAACAAACAAAGTGAAATATTACACCCAAAGTCCCAGAAAACAAACACACAAACCAACAAACTGAAAACACTACACCCAAATCCCCCCCCAAAACAAAAAAATAAACAAAATGAACCACTACACCCAAATCCCTCCCCCCCCCCCCCAAACAAACAAAACACACAACAACAAACCCCGCCTGCAGACCCGAACAAAGACCCCCCCCCACCCCTCCTCCCCATCCCCACCCCCCTCTTACCCGAACCGACCCGGCCCCCACCCTCCTCCTCCCCCACCCCCTCTTACCCGAACCGACCCCGGCCCCCTCCTAACCCCTCCTCCCCCCCACCCCCCTCTACCCGAACCGACCCGGCCCCCCTTCTCGCCTCTCTCTCGCGCTGACCGGACCCTAATGCAGATTGTGGCCCGAGAGAGTCGAGACCGGGGACTTGGCCTTATAGAGGGAGGGGTCGGATGGGGATTCTGTGTTCCTCTCGCGTTTATCTTTCAACCGGAAAAGTCTCGGTTCCAAATGCTCTTACTTTTCTCAAGATGGCGTTAAGATCCTTCAAGAGATCTGGGAGGAGGAGAGGAGGTAGGGAGGGAGGGTGGTGAGGAGGGTGAGTTTAAGGGTATAGGTTGAGGGAAAGAGTAACGTGGAGGGTGTAGGTTTGGTATAGATTTTTTTTTTTTTTTTTTTTTTTTTTTGGGGGGGGTGGTGTGTAGGTTTGGTATTATATATATTTTTTTGGGGGTAGGGGTCTGTGTCTGTACACATAGATTCGTACAGACACAGACATGCAGACGCACACACACACACACACACACACACAAATAGATGAATATTAGGATAATCACAAATACTAATAATTAATGATAATAAGAATGATGGTAATGATAACTTTAAAATAATTACATCAATTACTATGTTGAAGTTGCAACAATTATGATGATAATAAAGATATACAATTGGCTTTGAGTAATAATAACAATAGTAATGAAAATATAGTGATAATGTTGATATAATATGATATGACGATGCTATGATGATGATGAGATAGAAGGAGGATAATGATATGATGATGATGATGATGAAGATTAGAAGGAGGATAATGATAATGATAATAATGATGAGAGGAGGATTAGAAGGAGGATAATGATAATGATAATAATGATGATGATGATGATGATTAGAAGGAGGATAATGATAATGATAATGATGAATGAATGATGATGAGGATTAGAAGGAGGATAATGATAATGATGATAATGATGATGAAGGAAGAGGATTAATAATGATAATGATGATGATGAAGGATTTGATGATGATAATGATAATGATGATGATGATGATGATGATGATAATGATAATGTTGATGAATGATTATGATTGAATGATGATGATAATGATGATAATGATGATGATGATGAAGATGATATGATGATAATGATGATATGAGGATATGATGATAATTGATATGATGATAATGATGATGATGATGATGATAATGATGATGATGATGATAGTGAAGAATACGACAAGGATGATGATGATATCAATAATGAATATAGTGATAATGACCATGATAAAGATAAAAGATAAAGATATAATGATACTCGAAATATTGATCTTAACATTTTTAATACGTAATAATGAAGATAATGATGATTAAAAGGTAACCATTGCAAGGATAGTGATAGAAATATCTAAGGTAAAATATATTTATAATGATGACGTAAACAGAAAATATAAAACAAGAAAACAACAGCAACAACAATGATGATAATGGTAATGATGATGATGATGATAATGATGATGATTGATGATGATGAATGATGATGATTGATGATGATGATGATGAATTGATAATTTGATAATAATTAATAATAATGATAATAATAATGATGATGATGATGTGATAATATAATAATTGATAATGATAATAAATAATGATAATGTGATAATAAGAGAAATGAAATAATATATGTATAAATGATAATGATGATCATAATAATAGTAACAATGATAAAGATAATGATAATAATAATGATGATAATAAAAATCCTAACAAAGAAATAAAACTGATGATGAAGATAAGAATAACAATAATGATGATAATGATAGTAAGGATAACAATTAAGAGTAAATAATATACTTATGAAAATAGTAATGATAATAACAATAATAATAATAATAACAATAGTAATGATAATAATAAAAGTAATGACAATGATTAACATTACATTAATGATAAAAATAATTAATATTGATGATAATGATTATGATGACAATAATGATAGTAATGACATCACCACTACGACTGCTGTAATAGGTCACAGTAATAGGGACAATATGCTAATGATCCATCGAAGTCACAACGGTAATTATCATCATTATCACCAAAGCAATAATGACAATAAATTTGATAATGATATCAATTGTCATTATTGTTCTTATATTAATTACATGTTATAGTGTGATTTGTTGTGT